AAGGTATTCTCCCTGCTAACCCAAGAGGGAGAACTTACCTGTGAGGCAGTAGTGGGTGGGTCAATAACGAGGATCTTGACTGATACGGGTGGGGTGGGGTTATGGGTTTCTTCAGTTTCCTTTATGAAGGAGGAAAGATATAGGATCCTGAGAAATTGGAGATGGTTGAGAAGACCTGATATATATGTAGGCAGATGGAAAACCAATGAAGATAAGGGGAATGGTGAGGATCCCAGGGAGAATAGAAGAGACAAGGAGTATCCATAACTTTTCTATGACACCAGATCTCTGTGAAGAGGTGATCTTTGAGGGGGGGAATGGTCATATCATCATAAAGCACACATAAAGTTCTACCCTACTGTATTAATAGTAGATGGCATAGAGACACTGTTGGGAAGCACCCCAGATGGGTCAGTAGCAGTGGTGGTTGACAACGACATAAAGTTACCTCTTAGAACAGCAGTGTCAGTCATAAGTAGACTGGTAACAAAGGAAAAAGTAGAAGTGGGAATCTTTCAACTAACCTCGGCAGAAAAGTACAGCCCTGTAAAGGACAAGCTAGCCTTGTGTGAGACAATAGTGGAGGTGGCAGAAGTAGTGCTTATTATATTGGCCAATAAGCCCAACAAAAGAATAAAAATAGTAAAAGGAGAAGAGGTAGGAAAAGCCCTGCCATTAAGGTCCATACAATGGGTAAAGTTTGATGAAGAGGGAAGGAAAAACCAAATCAAATAGGAGAAGTAAAAGATAAAGAAATAATGGTCTCTAGGAGGTTTAGGGCCCAAATGGGACACCTATTAAAAACCAACTGTGACATAGTTCTTTGTCTGAGTTAGCCACTATCTCAGACCAACTCTATGAAGATGTGGAGAGACACCAGTGATCAAGCGCCAATCAAGTTGAAGCCCTATAGAATGCCCATCCACAAGAGACTCCTAGTGGAGGAGGTGGTCCGAGATATGTTAGAGGCAGGGGTGATTGAGAGATCTGAGTCACCTTGAAGCTTTCCCATAGTGGTAGTGCATAAGATGGTGGGCACAGGTTTTGTCAAAATCCCTGTTACTGATAGATGACATACTGGCTCTGCTAGGGAAGGCTAAATACTTCTTCACCATAGACCTAAGATCAGGATATTGGCAGATGGTTCTTGATGAGGTCGATAGAGAGAAGGCTGCATTTGTGTACCACTTGGGTCTGTTCCAGTTTAGGGTCATCTCATTCAGCTTGGCCAATGCCCCGGGTATTTTTCAGCAACTAATGTCTATAGTGCTGAGTGGGATTGAAGATTTCATTATGGCCTATCTGAGCAACATTCTGGAGTTCTCAGAGATGCCTGAACAACATTTTAACCACTTGAGGCAGGTATTGAGTTGATTAAAAGGACACAGATTCAAACTGAAATTATCAAAGTGACAGTTTTTGAAGGTAGAAACCAAATACCTGGGATTTATTTCAGATGGAAAAGGGATTAAACCCAATCTAAACAAGGTAGAAGTAATAAGGGAAATGCCTGATCCAAAGACAATAAGACAGGTGAGAGGGTTCATAGGGGCCATAAGTTATTATAGATGATTCATCCCAGCATTTTCTAGATTGGCAACCTCTTTAACAGCACTGACTAAAAAGTATGCTAGGTTCAGGTGGACAGAGGACTGTCAGTGAGTGTTTGACTGCATGAAGGAGCTGTTGAGGTTTAGGTCCCAAATGGGATGCCTATTAAGAACCAGCTGTGACATAGTGGCTAACTCAGACAAGGAACTATTTCAGACTGACACTATGAAGATGTATATAGACACCAGTGACATATCTGGACCTCAGCAAACCAATGGTTCTTTACACAGATTCTTGTGAGCAAGGCATAGGAGCAGTCCTTACACAACCATGCTCAGACTGGGATAGTACAGTGTCAGGTATACCAGAGGAAGTGCCAGTGTATTTCCTATCACATAGATGCAGTAGAAATGGCCCGTGATAGAAAGGCATATGCCATTATATCCACTTGACAAAATTTGGATTATTACCTGAGTGGGGCAGTGTTTACTATTAAAACTGACCATAAGCCACGCCAATATTTGCTGGTGGAGGCTAAACGAACAAAAGTTGAAGTTGAGTGGTTACAACTGCAAGATAGAGTACCTGGCTGGCAGGGAGAATACTTGTTCAGATCTGCTGTTGAGAATACCAAAACAGCTGGAAGCAGAATCTTTGAGAGTGGAGCCAGGGTGGGGGGTGAACGATAGGGCCTACCAAATAGGTGTGATTAACTCAAATAGGCTAGGAAACCACCCAAAGTTGGAGACGGATATGGAAGAAACCACACAGATTATGACTGACCATCACTGAATGGAAGAAATTAAGAAGAGTCAGGAGTCAAAGTGAGGGTAGGGACAGGAGAGACCACCAAATATGCAGTGCATCAATGGAGGCTGTATTACCAATCAGGGAGGGATGAAGAAGTAAGGCTCAGACTGTATGTGCCAAAATGGTCTGAGAGCTGAAATATTGGGAAAATGTCATGAAGGGCTAGGTCATATGGGAATTGATAAGACCTGCAACCTAGTGGGGAGATCTTAGCCTGTATAGCGAGATTACCAATTATGTTCAGAGTTGCATAGTATGTCAGGCCCAGAATAGAAAATGGGAACTGGCCCCACTGGAAGGGCAAAGGTGAGTATGGATGTGTCAGGGCCATATGAGGAGACCTCCAGAGGGAACATGTATACAGTGAGCTTTGTGGATTGGCTATTAAATTGGCCTGAGGCATATGCTGTGCCAAACAAAAAAACTCAAACAGTGACTGATCTAGTAATGAACAAAATATTCCCTCAGAATGGAGTGCCTGTGCAATGGACCAGACAATGTCAACAGAGTAATGACTGAGGTCCTGGCAAGCCTGAACTCAGTACACATAACTACTTCCCCCATCATCCCCAGGGTAACACAAAGGCAGAAAGATTCCATAGTACCATGGGAGATGTGTTAGCTAAGTTAGCAAGGGATAACATGGAATTGGGGACCAATATTAACACAAACCCTGACGGCTGTGAGGTTTACAATAAATGAAGCCTCTAAGTTCTCACTGTATTATCTGCTGTTCAGGCGAGATGTGATCTTGCCAGTGGATAATTTGTTAAAACCCTGCAGGAGGAGTAGGTAGGCTTTCCTACTGCCCGGTCAACACTCCCCCCCCTCTCTTGGATATGAGTAGAGGCTTACGCCTTGTTTCTTGTTTAGGAAGGGGTTCCCGGTACTCTCTCTCTCTCACTGGCCTCTGTATCTCCAGTTGCCTTGATCTTTCCACTACCCTTCTCCTCATCCTTTCTTCTATCACTCCTATCTGATCTTGCTCCAATTTTCTGTAACCCCTTGCGTCCTAGTGGCTTTCTGCCTTGCTTGGGGTGAAACGCTTATAAAAAAAAAAAGAAAAAAGTATATGAGAGAGGGCCATCACCAATTAATAATCAAATAGCAGCATAAATTGTTTATCAAAGTCAGGAGGAGGATAAAGAGGGTACAAAAAAATAAAAATGAGAGGGTGAATAGAGGAAGAAAGGTATTAGAATTAGGGGTTGGGGATCTCATGTTCTACAAAATTCACCTGAGAGAAGGAAACAAAATTCACCTGAGAGAAGGAAATTGGACTGGAGGTGGGAGCCCTATTATGGAATAGTGGAAAAGACAGGTCCAGTGTCGTTTGTAATCTGGGATCAAATGGCAAGGTGAGTTAAGAAGGCTAATGACCTGAAAATAACCAAGATAAATTTATTAAATATTAAATCTTTTAAAATTCTCTATTAATTTCAGATGATGATATTATTAAGTAAAAACTATACTTACTAATCATAAATGTTAAATATATCAGTTGTCAAACACCAAGATTTTTAAAAGAAGTTTGGATTTTTTTATGTATACAAATGTGCCCATTTTTGAAAGTATGGGCAACCATACATGACATTATCAGAAAGTAAGAGTACTTAAAAATTATATAAAAAAGACACTGACATCAAATTATGTTCTACATAGAACAACAATCAATCTGTCATCACTTTTTATCACTCGTCAAACACATAAACATAGCTACTGTTTGGTTTAAAAATGCATTTCTCTATTATTTTAAATTTAAATAATATTTGTTTCAAATCAGATTAATGATACTTTAAATCAGCTAATATTCTTCAAATAAAATTTTTTGAAAAGTATATTTTATTTTTGAAATATTTTTTAATAAAGAGAATTACACTGCAATGAAAGATGACTAAAAAAGAGGCACTAACATCTAGTTTAACAAAAAAAAAAAACCCTCACAGTCAATTTAAATTAGTTTGCAAATTACAGAAAAATATTTTGCTTATTGGAAATATTAAATTTGATCTCTTAGCTTGAAATTAAAAAAAATAAAAAACTTGAAGATTTTTCATTTTTAAAAATTCATTTTAAACCTTAGTTATCATTTACATAATACAATGTAAGGGGAAACAATTAGTAAGATGACCACAAAGAAAATAATTTCTCAAATTATCAGTAGGGTATTTTTGTCAGAGTCGGTTGGAATATTTGTTTCAGGAGCCTTATCATGGTTTTTGGACCCGAGAGAGGTGTCCAGCCTGTTTGTTTTAACATCTTTATCTTGACAATTGGGTTTGCTAGTTTTAATCAATTGGATATAACTTTGTGGCCAGTCTTTTATTTGGAATATGTTAATTCCTTTGTAATTTTGTTGATTTTGCCAGAGTTTTCTCCACCAGCTTCATCTTGTTTGTTGGGTCTGAGAGTGGCAGCCATGTTTGTTTTACTGGCTAGAGTTTGGTTTACTTGTCTAACATTAATCAAATGGATATAACTGCTTAGCTTGTCTTTTATTTCTATGCTTCCAGTTCCATGGTATAATAATTTTATTTCTTGTCCAGGGTAAATCATAATTTGGCAAGACAGAATCTGAAACTGAAAAATCTTCATCATCAGCATCTGTTACAATAGAAGCAGTGTAATTTCTCATGGTGTCACCTTCTCCAAAAGAAAGTATAACTTCCCCGGCACGAGGTCAAGTCTTGAAGAATATATAAGTCCACATCGTATATCCAATTTAAATCTCTAGGTTTATCCCATTTTATTTCTTGATTATCTGGAAAAAAAAAATTAGCTTTCATCATTTGAATGACAGAAATAACATACATATATGCACTCGGAGGCAAAGTTTAACGAAAGCCCACCACCCCCACACACCCAACCAGGTCCCCACCCCCGAAAAAAAAAACAAGGGAGTGTCAAAAAGAAGAGTTTGACACCTATTACTGTATAATCCCTCGACAATATTTATAATTTGAAAAAACTATTTTTAGAATTTTAATAGCAAAACATTAAACACTATTTAGTTGTTAGATTGTTTATTCAACAAAATTTTATTAAACAATTTATTCATAAATTTGTCAAAATGTCTGATTTATAATACTTGACACCAGAAAGGTTTATTGTACACAACTAGTACAATACGAAATATGGTACAGTTATACACACAGGTCAATCTAGTAGTGAGTGCCAATAATTGGGAGGTCAGATGTGCTCGTCTTCTCTACTGTAGTCTCTCATAGACAGTTGACTTTATAGGTACTTACTACCTGTAGTTTATTCAACAAAATTTTATTAAACAATTTATTTATAAATTTATCAAAATGTCTGAATTATCAAAGAAAAATTTTAAATTAACTTGAACATTATATCTTAGATTTTTTTTGTTTTCAATTTTTCAACTTTCTTTTATATACAAAGGGGAGGGGAACAAATATTCATATACATACAAATTTTTAATTTATTGTATTTCCAACTAATGAATAAACATTCTTTTTATATAATTAACTGTACACAGATGAATAAGAACTAAATATACACAGAAAACAAAAAAAAATTTGATTTAATAGAAATAAATCTCATTTATCCATTTTAATGGGTGAAAAAATATTTGTACAATACAAAAAAAGAATACATGATCTTCATTTAATACTTTATAGAATAGCCATTATTCACTTTTACAGCAACCAACCTCTTCTTGTGCTTGGTTTATTTGGCTAGTGTTAGCATGAATCAAATGAATGTAACTGCTTGGCTTGTTTCTTATTTTTAAGTTTCTATTTCTGTTATATAATAATTTTATTTCTTGTCCAGGGTAAATAGTAATTTAACAAGACAGAATATGAAACTGTAAAAAAATCTTCATCATCAGCGTCTGTTACAATAGAAGCAGTGTAGTTTTTCATGGTGTCACCTTCTCCAACAGAAAATATAACTTCACTGACATCAGGTTGAGTCTTGAAGAATATAACCACGTTCACATTGTAAATCCCATTTAAATCTCTGGGTTTTCTCCAGTTTATTTCTTGATTACCTGGGAAAAAGAAAAAAAAAGAAAAGAAAGAGACTATCTTTTAATAATGACAGAAATAACAAACATATATGCACTCAGAGGCAAAGTTTACCACTTCTCACCCCCAAATAAAGGATTATCAAAAAGAAAATTTTATCTTGACACATCTATCATTGTATACTCCCTTCACAATATTTGTTTTAAAAGGCAATTTTTAGAATTTTAATATAAAAAATGTTACACACTATTTTGATTGTTTATTCAACAAAATTCATTTTACTATTTACAACATTATAAAAATGTCAACCAACTACAATGCAATATTTATTATTTAACATTTTATAAATAAACAAATATGAAAATAATTTCTTTTATTAATAAATTTATCAAAATTTCTGAATCATGGAAGAAAAATGTTTAAATAAACAGGATTTTTCTGAACATTACTTGTTAAAATAGCCATGAGCTTGAGTTACAGTTTTAAATCTATATTTCAGAAAAGAAAATTGCATATCTGGAGATTTTTAATTCTTTTAAGAAAATGAAAAATATATTTAGATAAGATTTAGATTTACTGTTATACAATCTGTTATCGGAGTTATTCTATGAAAATTTATAATAGCAAAAAAAAAAAATGAAAAACTTACCAATGCTATCAAGATGTTTTTTTCTGAGATATATATAAAAGTTTTAAAATTTTATATTACTAGGATCCTTTTGGATTATATACCAAAGGATTTGTTAACTATATATATATATATATATGTATATAGTATTTACATTAGTCGGACTATTGTCCTCATCTTTGTCGCCATATTTGTCACAATGTTTTGGCCATTGTACACTCCGTTCTCCGGCTCAGGAGATTTTTGTGGCCTAGCATATGTGCTGATTCCTTAAGTTTAGGAATTTTCCAATGGTGTTCCCTGTCTATGATCTCAACATGATCCCACAGGGGACGGTGATCTCCCTTCTCTCTCCATATGCGGTCAGCCATGCCTTTTTTTTTTTTCTCCTGAGCTGACCAAGCATAGAAATAAATACAATATGGGAACCAGTAATAAGGAGTGCCAGAGAAAAACAATGATAAAAAATAACAAAGTTGCAATATGAGCTCTGGTAAAAACATGCAATGATAACAGCAAAATTGCAATATGAGCACTGGTAAAAAATGGTTTTGTCTATATTTCTGAGATGAGGTATTATGTACAGTATTTACATTAGTCAGACTATTGTCCTCATCTTTATAAGCCATAAAAAAAAACGTTTACGGCCGTTATACGCTCCGGCCTTCTTCAGGTGGGGAAATTGGAATTCGCTTGACTGAACCATTCCCGTGCCATGTTTTATGGATGTCAGTTATCTCTCTGCTAATTTTCCCCTCTGAAAGTTCTCCACTATCCAGTAACAGACCCAAAGAAGGTGAGTTCAATTCCTGGTTAAGGCAGTGGAGAACTTTCAGAGGGAAAATTAGCAGGAGATAACTGATAACTGACATCCATCAAACATGGCACGTGGAATTAGAAACAGTCCACCCCAGCCGATCAAATAAAGGGTTCGGTTAGAAATTCCAACCACCTGAAGAAGGTCGGAGCGCATAACGGCCAAAACGTTAGACAAATTAGGTTTATAATACCCAGAAATTCATTTACCCAGATATCCTCAAGGACACATGGCACAGTGGATAAAGGCGTTGGTTAGATCCAAAGAGTTCAATACCCGGTTAAGGCAGTGGAGAAAATTAGCAGGAAATAACTGATAACTGACATCCATCAAACATGGCACGTGGAACTAGAACAGTCTAGATTGAAATAAAGGGTTCAGTTCCAAATTCCAACCACCTGAAGAAGGCTGGAGCGTACAACAGCCGAAACGTGACAAATATGGCGACAAAGATGAGGACAATAGTCCGACTAATGTAAATACTGTACATAATACTTCATCTCAGAAATATAGACATATATATATATATATATATATATATATATATATATATATATATATATATATATATATAAAAAATAAAAAAAGAAAGAACAGTAAGATATATAATCCGGTGTTCTTATAGATATTTTTATTTTACAAAATAGTGCTCAATGTAAATTTACAGAGCATAATATTATAAATTAATTGATTTAAAATATGGTTTTTTCGCTACACAGTTCTAACCATGTTTCAAAAATAGAAGCTAAAAGCCCCGAATTTAATTTTGCAATTAAATTAAAAGCATTAGTTCCATTTCATCCTCAAGTGAATTTTGCTCCAAAATTCGCTTGAGGATGAAATGGAACACTTTAAAAAATTTATAACTTTATTTGTATTTGCAATAGAAATAATTTGTGAAAAGGATTAGAAAGAAGTAAATCTATATTTTTTAAGGTTTTATTGAAATTTTATTTAAGTTTCCACATGTCCTCTATCATTAGCAATACAAAGGGTAATATGATTTTGCAGTTCACGGAAAACATTTGCCAACTGATTTACAGTAATGCCTGAAATCACATTAGTTATTTTAGCTATACTTAAAACTAGGTACATTAAACTTTATAACATTTTTTACAGATTATTTCTGTCGCAAATACAAATAAAGTTATAAATTTTTTAAAGTGCGCACAAACTTTATGGACACCCTGTATTATGTTGGGGATGTCATCTGGCTTTGTACTGAAGGGTTTGTGGTTGATTTTGTTTGCCGGCATATCAATGTCTCTGGATTATTTTATGCCAAAATCTAAATATTTTGTTTGTAATTTTATGCTTTCAACTACAGATATTTTGTAGATAATTTTATACTTTCAGTATATTTTTTAGATATATATTTTGTAGATTTGACATCATTACTGGAATGTATGCTTGCTTGGTATACAATATTATCAGTCATACATTAGCAGTTGAAGGGACAGGTTATATTTTTCAGTAGATGCATTTATATTTTGTAAATTGGTTAATGTTGTTTTTGTTGGAGATATATTTATTTCGTATAATATTCTTAATGTTGAGATATCGATTTTTTTAATATTTTTTAACCGAACTTTGCATTATTTTTGTTAATCTACTTTAATATTGCAGAGAGATGAAGTGTTTATGAATTAAATTTAAGAATTTTGTGAATATGAAAGGATTATGAAAAAATAAACAGACATAATGTTTTTTTTCAGCAAATGTATTTATATTTTGTAAATTGGTTCAAATTGTTTTTTGTTGGATATATATTTATATAGTATAATATTGTTATGATGGGAAATTTGATTTTTCAATATTTTCTTAGATGAACTTTATAGAAAAGATGGCTGAACTTGACAAGAAGCTCTGAATGAAGACAGTTGATGCATACAAACAACGTGACTAATATATAATACTTTCCAGACATTTAAATGTTCCTAGACTGACAATTCATAGCATTATCAAGAAGTAAAACAAAACTCATTGTGTTGAGAATAAAATAAGGATTGGCAGAAAACAGTTCATTTCTGAGAGAATGTAAAAGAAAATTGTTAGAGACATCTCAAAGTATCCTCATTTAATGACAAAGAATAGTGTCAATGATGTAAAGGCATCATGGTGGAATATATCAGCAAAGACAGTCACTAGATGCTTTCATTGGTCAGGATTTGTTGCCCAATGAAAACTCCTTTGCTTAAGGCTAAGCACCTAAAATGTAGATTAGATTATGTTAAAAGTTATCTAGAACATGGAAGTAAATATAGGAACTCTGTTTTATGGTCAGATGAAAAGATGAAACCAAACTAGAGTTATTTAGTCACATGAACTCACATTATGTTTGAAGGAAAGTGAATGAAACTCACAAACCAAAAAACAAAACACCAACATACAACTACCTGCAACATTAGCAATGTCCAAAAATCCTTCATTTTTGAGTTAAGTTTAAAGTTTATGGTAGATGCTGTTAAATGTACAATCTAATTAATATATTCATTGTTATAGATTTATCTAAAACTTGGTGCAGTTCAAAATTATTTGCTTCCTTCTCCATAAACTCCTGATGAAATTTATGAAATGATATTGTGCTATAGCAATTGTAATAATTTTTTTCTTAATTTGGCATTTAATACAGACCCCCTTTGAAAATGGAATTGTATTAATCTGATTCTATAATATTGTAAAAGTTAAAGAAGAAGACAATATGTGAGTGCCACATACCATGATAACTCATTTGTTCTGCAACAACTGCAAAGATGGCTGAACTTGACAAGAAGCTCTGAATGAAGACAGTTGATGCATACAAACAACATGATTGATATACAACACTTTCCAAACATTTAAATGTTCCTAGACTGACTATTCATAGCATTATCAAGAAGTAGGTTACGTGTACAATTCAGTTTTTATTTATTATTGTTTGAATTTCTGTGCTTATACCTGTATTTATAAGTTTGTGCATACATGAATATAGATATACACATGTGCACACACACACAAAAGGTACATGTACACTTGTCTGTGGTTTGTTAGTAATAAACTTGTGCTTAAAAAGTAAGGTAATTTTTTTTCTATTTTTAGGGTATTATGGTTGGTTAGGTTTATGCAGTATTTTCTTTCCGGTTTCCATATATGCATATAGATTATGCAATATATATATATATATATATAAGTATTTTTTATGAAAAAAAAATTTATAGCATATGTTATAAAATGTAGTGATTTTATAATATATTTATGTTATAAATTTTTTTTTTTCATAAAAAATAATTATATCTGCTCTACTTTGTATTGAGCACTCTTTTAAGAATAGTAATTGTTGCTTATTGGAATTCATTCCGTATACACCAATTATATACTTGGGTATATATATAATAAAAAGGCTTAAACACTAATATTCCATGGTCATAATTATGACCATGGAATATTAGTGTTTAAGCATTTTTATTATATCCTTACTCTGTCCTGGACATTGAGTTCTACCTGGATTCTATCCTCTCGGAATTTTTTATTCAAAAAATATACATATATGTGTATGCACCTATGTATATATATCTATATATTTTGCATATGTGTGTGTATATTTACCACTAATATTATCTATCTATGTATGTATGTATATATATATATATATATATATATATATATATATATATGTATGTATATATACTCCTGCATATTCATGTATTTTAAACAGTGTATATGTAGTAAATTAAATATTTGCTTATATCATATCTAAATATTTCATTTTTATTTGTGCACACATATATATAGATATACATACATGCACACACACACACACACACACATATATATATATATATATATATATATATATAGGCACATGTACATTTGTCTGTGCTTTGTTAGTAATGACCTAGTGCTTAAATGGTAAGATGATTTTATTTTCTATTTTTAGAGTATTAATTATGGTTGGTTTAGTTTATGGAGTATTTTCTTTGCTTTTTCAATATATGGATATAGAGTATACAAGATATATATATATATATATATATATATACTCCTGCACATGCATGTATTTTTAAATAGTATATATGTAGTAAATTAAATATTTACTTATATCATTTGTCTAATCTTTCCTTCTTATTTAATGTTAGTACCATATTTGTTTTCCATTTCATGTTATATATTGGGGTATCAATTATGGAAGGTTAGCTTTACTCTTTCATAGTTGTTTGTGTGTATGTATGTATATATTTATTTGTGTGTATTTAATATTTGTTTGTTTGAGTTTTTATTATATTTATTTCATTTATTTAAAATTATATTTATTTTTAATTAATGCTTAGATAACAAAGTATTTATTTATTTATATACCTACCTTTACCCATTATTTCAGTTTTCTTTTTTCAGTGTTTATTTTGCTTTCTAAAACTAATTATTTCCAATTTTTCCTCTAAACATATTTTAGGCTGCTTTTTTTATAATTTTCCATTTGATTTTGGTGGGGAATATTGTTTCATTTTTGGCTCCATATGTATTTTGATAAGGTTGTATTGTTTATGCATTTTTTTTCTTTTGACAGACATTTTGTGTTTATAAAATCTTTCTTCTAATGTTTTTTCTATGGTACCTATGAAAATTGTTTTGCCAGTGTTAATGTTATTGGTTTTGATAGCTTTGTATATTATGTTATGTGCTAAACATTTACAGTTAAGTAGGCAATTTTCATTGTTTCTGCAGTTACATTTGATGGTGTTATTTTGATGGATATTATTGGTGACTGATAAAATCGATTTTTCTTTCCTAAAACCTAATATGGAAAAGCAACAGGCTGCCCTATCTGAACAACTTCAACTTTGAAAGATGGACCTCTCCAAAAAATAAGAAACAAAGAAATGATTTGAACAACTTGATGTTGAACAAATGCCTGAATACTTATTCAATGTAGGACTTTCACAAATCAGTTCATCTGTTTGATGCTAGACAGCTACAATGTATTATCCGTCAAAGATTTGCAAGATCCATCTACCGAACACTTTGAAGAATTTCAAATTTATATAAACTACAAAGATGACCTACCAAATCCCTTCAGCATTCGAGCATTTTGGAATGCCAAGAGGAGCAGATTTCCCATTTTGTCACAGATTGCCACTAAAGTTATTTAATTCTTTTAATACACTGTGGTGCTATCTTTCCGGAGGCTTTGGCACTTTCACGGATTCCTTATTTAGAATTGAATAATTCTTTGCAACGGTTGTCCTGGAAACTCATCAAGTTAGATTAAGGGCAGAAGTAGGAGGTACAAAACCTTAAAAGCTGGAGCAACTTATTGAATGAGTGGATATTCCAGCTAGTAAAATTATTCATTTTCTTGTTTTAGTAACATTTATATATTGTTTACACTTTCTCAATAAGTATTACAATGAAGCTAAAAGAGATAAAAAGAAAGGAAAATAAGTTCCTCCTTATATATAGAAAGAGTTTCAGAAGCTTCATCTTGGCCATTTGGTCAGATACAGGTGACAGTATTGTTTTTTTAATTTTTTAAGATTTTGTTAAAAAAAAAAAAAAAGAAGAGAAACATACGATATTCAAAAAATTGACAAAAATCAAAGTGTTTATTATTAAGCAGAAAGACCAAACCATTTTTATTAAATTTTTTCATTCTCTCAAGCACACTGAAATTCTGGTTAAAATCTGTTTTTTCTTGTACACATTTAAGTATATTTCTCTTCTTTCTATCCACTGTGTAGCAACATGCGAATTATATAATGTAGTTATAGAAATTTTGTTCTGGCTATTTGATCAGGTACATGTTGTCAGGTGGTGTTTTAATTTGCTTTTTTATAGGTACCTGCAAAGATTTTGTGAAAAAGAAAAGTGTAACATACTATATTCAAAAAAAGCCTCTAAACCTGACAAAATCAAAGTGTTTATTATTAAGCAGAAAGACCAAATCATTTTTTAATTAAATTTTATCATTCTCTCTAGCACACTCAAATTCTGGTTAAAATCTTTCGCGTCCTCCATTAGCCGCTCCTAAGATAAATGACCTTGACCTTTTACAACCCCTGATCTCACAGATTTAATTCAAGCAACATGCAAGAAACCGGACAACTAGAGTCCAATATGGTTGAGTCCAAACCGTACTTCGTGAGCATCAGATTAGGCTGCGCTTTTCAAACATTGAACAACATTGGGATTAATTTAGCATCTATGGTTTTCTACTTCTTCTATCCAGGGAGTATTTGAATAAATCATTTTACATATTGTTAGCTCCTTTTTTCGTCCAAATCTGGGGCTGCTCGGCCCGGTCGCTACGGTCAAAGTGTAGTACACTACCTTTGTGAGCTCCTGATGCCTTTAAGAGAATACTCTTCGGCGTGATCCCATTTCCGCAGTCGATCCACCCTGGAAGACGTATCGCCTCTCTGACCCAGCTTCAAGTGCTACCCTTTGACACAATCCCATCACCGCAGTTGATCCGCCCTGGGAAGTCGTATCACTATTCTGACTGTTTAAGGACCTCGCCTTTGTTAAATGTTACACTTCTGTGCGATCACATCACAGCGGTTGATTGCTCTGGAAGTTGTATCACTATTCTGACTCGGCCCTGTTTAGGAACTTCGCCTTCGTCAAGTGTTACACTTCAGGTTGATCCGCCTGGGAAGTTGTATCACTATACTGACTTGGCCCTGTTTAGGCACTCGTCTTAACCGATCTAACGAATCTTCGTGCGACATCGATCAACCTGCTGCTGTTCCCAACAATTCTCCCATCAGGCAGTCGACCAGCTATAGCCGCCGACCAACTCTACATTCATTTGGACCGATTTTTAAAATCAACTACCCCTGAAGAAAAACCAGTCATACCGGTCCCGACACCAATACAAACATATTTCTCCAGAGTACACTCTTGTACATTTTGGATAAATAAAATCAACGTTATTATTTCTTAAACCTCTGCCTTTGTCACCTCATTGTCTTTAGTTGTTCACACCTTTCTACAGAAAGCTTGCGGGGGCGACATCCTAATCAGTCCCGCAACAAATCTGTTTCTTCTTGCGCACATGAAAGTATATTTCTCTTCTTTCTATCCACTGTGCAGCAACATGCAAATTATATAATGTAGTTATAGAAACTTTGTTCTGGCCATTTGATCAGATACATGTTGTCATATGGGTTTTTAATTTGCTTTTTTATAGGTACCTGCAAAGATTTTGTGAAAAAAAAAATAAAAAAAAAATTACATACCATATTCCAAAAAGCCTCTAAACTTGTCAATGTGTTTATCATTAAGCGGCCTCTGGCGTGCTAATGAGACTTGGTATAAAATTGTTAAGAAGGCTTTGGTGAAGGTTGCGTTTTTGATTAGCACATCACATTTAAATTTTACAAAGAAACACAAAGAATAATGTCGTCTGTTTTTTTTTTTATCAATGACAAAAAGCTTTTCAGCAGTTTTTTTCTGTTAAGTTCATACTTGTATACTTAAAGATTCTTTCTAAACGGGGTGTTTGGGTTAGAATATGTTATATTGAACTACAATTTTAAAATATTATTTTTACTCTTAATTATTAATAGACTATATTTCTTTTTAAATCAAATAAATTTAATAGAATTAGTTAAATTATTTAAAAATTATTATTACATATCAAATATAAGTATGTATATTACCAGCTCCCAATTTTTTTTTTTTTATTTTTTATTTTTAAATATTAAGGAAAATTTTTGACAATGTCGGCAAAGAATAGCTATTTCGTTTCTTCAATTCAGTAAATTTTTATTTTTTATAAATCTAATAATATATAGTTTTTCATATATACGCAAAGGACATGAGTCACTTAATGACCTACATATTTTAGCTTTTTCTTATTAATTTCCATTTTACTGTAGGTGTTTTATTGGTTTCTTTTATATTTCGATAGAGACATCTGATTTCAGTATTTATTTATCTTAAATGAAGTTTTATGTTGATTGAATCTCTTTTTGAACTTATGGCTTGTGCAACCTATATAGATTTTTATGTTTTCGGGATTCTCAATAGATGAGATATTGCATTGGTATACTAATGCTTCCATGTGACATTTATTTTGTAGAGGACAATTATGAGGATTTCTACAGTTACATAATTTTTGTTTATGTTCCTCCCTTTATTTTTATATTGTCTAAATTTCTTTGGTTTTGGTCTAAGTGTTTATTCAAGCTATTAGCATTATGTTTCGTAATTTTCTCTAAGTTTTCAGTACAGCTGTAACTTAATTTTAGTGTAATTTTATTGAAAATAGTACTTTGTTTACTATCTTTTGGAAAATGCTTAACGATTAATGCAAGGAATTTTTGTCTTAATTTGTTCTTTACCATTTGGTTGTATGGGGGTGTATACCAAATTATTTTTCTACTCCATTTTTTCTATGCTTTCCAATTTCCTTTTTTTATATAAGTTAGTGGCTACAAAAGTCCAAAACTATCTTTTAGAGCTTTATTATAGAAATTAATATGTTCATAGTTTGAACGGACACTTCTAACTGCTGACTAATAACACTCTTATTTTGTAAGTATCTGTTATTTCAATACACTTGTTCAACAGGCCACAACACCTACCCCATTATATTTTTACAACAAAAAAAAAATGTCTTTTGGCGAATTAGTGCAGGTACATATTTAATACTTTATCCGAATAAGCCGAATTTAGATTCAACGCAATTGAATGGTGACTTACTTTCTGATAATTTTACATTTGTTTTTATACAATAAAATAAAGGAAGACAATTTTCCCTTTTAGAAAACGTTCTAAAATAATTTAATTCATTTGGGAATGAGTTCTGAAAATCCTATGAAAATCTGATAATTATTTGATTTTTGTAAGAATTTCCAAATCGAGGTGTTTTTACCAAAAAAAAGAGGTGCTAAATTTCCAAATAATCTTTCAAACGTAAAAGAAAGAATTTAAAAATTTAAGAAAAATACTTTGCTCTTTCCCCTTAAACATTTTAACAATAAAACTTTATTTTCATATAAAAAGTTTGCAGCTTCTTTTCTGAAAGACACCAGAGTATTTTGCATACTGGAAATAGTAAATTAATTATTTAGCTTTGAATTAAAGCTAAAAAGAAAGCTTCAAGAATATTTTTTACATTTTTAAAAATTCATTTTAAATAGTGACCTCCACTAAATTTTCCATACCTGAGGTTTAAAATTAATTTTTAAAAATGAAAAAGCATTCTTGAAGCTTTTTTTTTTTAGCTTTAATTGAAAGCTAAATGATTAAAAATTTAATATTTCCAGTAAGCAAAATACTTGTGTATTTCAAATAGAAATTATGTTAATTGGAATCTCAACTTTTTCATCGCTTTAACAAAATCAATAAAAATTGATCATTATCGGCCATTTTGACATATTTGTTAAAAGTTAATTATCGGTTTTAGAAATCTTCCAAAAATAAAATAAATTTGTGACATTATTTGAGGAAAATTAGCAAATTTAAAGTTAAATTAATCTGATTTGAAACATATCTATTTATAGCTTTAAAATAATATACAAGCATTTATTAATCATGGAGTCTTGTTTTTCTGACATGTTGATTAATTTGATTGTCATTGTAAGTTGTTAAATAGCTAATTATGGTTGACCAGAAATTGACAAATTTACAAAATCTGTTTTTGATTTTTAACTACCTAGTAATTTTTTTTATAATTAACATAATATTTTTAATTAAAATATCTTTCGCAAAATAGAATAAACTTAAAAAAGTAAAAACTAAAAAATTACTAACAAAAAAAATGAAAAATAAAAAGGAAAAATATTTATGAAATAAGTGTTAAAGTAAAAACAATTTGAAATGAAATTTGAAAATGACACGCAAATTAAAAGAATAAGAACTTCAAATAGAAATTAAATAAGAAAAATTGGGTAATTTGCTTTTTAAGCCCCGCGCTAAGTATCTAATAAAAATTTAATGAATAGTTATATTAAGGTGTAAATGTACATGCTTAATTCAAAAACAGCAAAGAAATTTTGATAAAATCTTTGGAGTTATCGATAACTGAATTTTGGACTCATTCAGGTCATGGCAGCCATTACTGGTGTTGTTTGCATATATTTGCTGCGGAATTAACATTACTAGTTTTGATGATTCCGTACACAATGAGTTCTCAGTTTTTGAGTAATAGAGACAAGTAAGAGGAGTAAAAAGGCCGTTAACAAGGTAATCTAATCAGCAGCAAATGTATGCAAACAACGCCAGTAATGGCTGCCATGCTGTAACGCGAATGATCAGAACTTTTATCGTTGATATCTTCAAAACAGTAGATTTTATCAAAATTTCTTTGTTATTTTTGAATTAAGCATGTACATTTATACTTGGATATAACTTTTCGGAAAATTTTTATCAGATTCTTAGTGCAGGGCTTAAAAAGCAAATTACCCGAAAAATTTAAGTTAGTTAAAGTAAAAATTATTTTTTTTAGTAAATTATATTGGGTTTTGTCTCCAGGTTACTTAATTGAAGTATGGCCAACACTAAAATAAATACATAAAAGAAAAATATTTAGTGAAATAAGAATTAAAAAAGGTAAAAATTTGAAGGGATGATTTGCAAAGCCTGTTGAGACATAAACACAATGAAACACAAATGAAAATGAAACAATTGTAGACAGACAGATTTTTCAGGGAGGACAACTCTTAAAACACGGAACAGATATCCATACTTATGAAAATTGGAATGTTTCTACACTAAAAAAAAAAATCTTTTTTCTTTTTATAATCATTCACCTCAAGTATAGCAGGTGTGCCACTAGTATGCAAGGGGTTACAGAAAGTGAAAGTTAGAGAAAAGACTGGGTATGGGGGGGGGGGTAAAGGTAAAAAGGAATAGGGATCAAGGCGTCAGAAGATGTCGATTGATATTACATTTAAATTTTTGAAGATTATAGCTGTCAGGGAAGCAAGTAAGAGGAACGGAGTTCCAAAGATGAGAAATGTGAAAGAAGCAGTTAACTGTTTTGGAAGTAAAAGGGTGGGGCTGAGATGCCAACCTAGTGGCACACATGCAGTTCAGGTACCATTGAAAATAATTCGTCAGAGCAGTTGCCATGAAAATATTTGTAGAATAGACAGAGGGAAGCCACATCACGTCTGTGAGAAAGTGACTGCAATCAAGCTATCAAATCAGGATCGATTACATTGCATATCTGTCTTTGGATTTTGTCGAGAACCTCATGATGAACAGCAGGGACGCCAGACCATTTATGGTAACAGTATTCGATGCATGGATGAATGGTAGATTTGGACATTTGAAGCATGGACTCAGGCAAGAGAAACCTTCTGGCATGACACAGAGAATCAACTTTACTTGTGGTAGAAGCAGCTATTGATTCAATGTAATTGTTCCATCTCAGGTCAGTGGGAAGCGTGAGACCAAGAAGGCACAGAGAGATGCTCTCGTGAAGTTGGGAATCAACCATACTGCTAGAAGACAGATAGGTTTCTCTATGATGGGTAAATGAGAGCAGTTTCGTTTTGGAGGCATTGAAATTTACAAGCCATTCCCTGCCCCAGTCAACCACAGACCAGGGATCTTTTTCAGGACCAACAGCCAGTTTAACTTTGTCAGCATTGCCTGATTTCCTATTGAGACAGGAGTAAATGGCAGTGTTGTCTATGTAGATGTCTACTTGAAAACTGATGACATCAGGAAGATCATTGATGAAGATCAGAAATAGTGTAGGACCCAGCATAGATCTTTGGGGAACACCAGCATTCCTATGAAAGGAACTGGAAGAGAATTCATTCAGAATGACCTTCATTTCATGGTTTGATAGGAATGATTAGATTAAATCAAATAATCGTCCTGTAATACTGTGGCATTGAAGCTTACGTACAAGGCCAGCATGCAGCAAAACTTGAGCTTTGCCATAATTATAACGTGCTTAGTATACAAATTCAGTTATGGCTGTAAGCATATCAGTGGTAGACCAGGCAGAGCAGAAACCATATTGTTTGTGTTATAATATGACATATCTCGGCTGATTTACAGGCAAATACTCAAGAGTGAGAACCGGATGTGAACGGGACAAAGCCCCGTCACAAAATGACCATTATCTTTCATCACAAATGTTTCCGACACACGTGTTCCGGTTGAAAAATAAAATATTTAAAGTGCTCTATTTTTCGTCCAATAAAAATGCTTCCCTCCTAATTATACTCCCTTCGTTTTTCGAGCCTGTTAAGCCATAAAAAAACGCTATAAAAGGGGTAACAGGGAAGTTCAGCGGTCAGTCCACAGGTGCCCAGGATAGAGACCTGTCACGTCCAGCTGCTGA